GCCCATTAAGGGTGATTGCCCTTCACCATTGATCGCCCATTAAGGGTGATTGCCCTTCTCCATCTGCATACAGTTTCATGCCCGTTGCTGGTTGGCTAACTAGCAACAGGGTCTTGCCAGCCAATGGAATTGTGTGATTACAAGCCAGGGGAATCCCATAAAAGAGGGCTCCCCTGGCCCAGAGAGCCAGTCCGGATTTCCTTTATGCCTTGCCAATAAACCAAGAGCTGACTGTCACTCGACTCGTGTCTTACTGCCTGCGCGATCTAACTCTCTCTCTCTCTCTCTCTCTCTCTCTCTCTCTCTCTCTCTCTCTCTCTCTCTCTCTCTCTCTCTCTCTCTCTCTCTCTCTCTCTCTCACACACACACACACACACACACACACTTAGAAGCAGATTGTCACTCCAATTAAATCCCTTATATATATCATAACTGAATCAATTAAATATTTGTAATCTGTATACTATTAAGGGATTTCTACTGACTTCTGGCCATCCCTCATGAAAATAAAACAGCAGATGTCTTAAGAAATAAACCAGTTGAAAATCTGGTTTTTTATTTTGCAGACTGCAGAAACAACGATGTGGGGAAAAATATTCCAGATTGTTTTGGTAAGTTGAGGTCTCCGAGGTCTAAAACAGTAGCATACAGTATTTAGTAGTCTATTAAATATTTCAACAAGGACACATGGGTATTATCTATCAAATTCAGCTTGACTCTTGAAAACCAGTTCTTCAGTTCTTCTTTTTCTTCTGAAGCTGGCCATCTGGAGTTGAATCAAGGGGTCCAGAAATAGGACACAATGAGGACTGAAATGCAGGAGTAGCACAACTTACTAAGAAAATCAGGGTTCCAAAGAGAAAAACTGTGCATCAAGGTTAGGTCCGATTTCTCTAAAAATAATGAAAAAGAGAGATTTTTCTAGTACAAACCCTCTCATCTCATTTCTCCAGCAGAAATTCTCCCTGAGTTGACGAATTCCAGAGGTAATTTGTTTTGCAGAGTTCTACTTTCCATATAGTCCTGCCATCATTGAATGAGATTCTTGTTTCCACAACTAGCTGTTCTAGCATCCGCATTCCCCATTTTTAAGATTCAAAGGAAAGAATTATAGACCAATTGTTGCCTATTTTAGATAACATCTGGCTAAAAGGTGTTGTTCAAATTCCATTAATTAATGGTTTACTACAGTATGTGCTAACTTAGAAGTGAATTACTAGATTAGAACCTGTGATAACTAAATGCAAAGAGTGGAAAGGGCAGAGAAGAGCAACAAAAATTATGAGGGGGCTGGAATTGGATATGTGTCTTCAATTATCTTGTCCTGTATTGACACACTATAATTTTTGGCTATAGAAAATACAAATATAAAACAGTACAATTACAGTTTTTTCTTTGTTGTAAATTTCAGTGAGCAAAATGGCTTATAATGTGGACAGAATAAGAAAAACCATTTCAGTGAATATTTCAGATGTCCAAAACATAGACTGTTATGTCCGTTTATGTCATCAAAGATTTGTATGTGAAGATGTGGGGCCTGTCACTTTGGTAAGTACTTCAGAGAAGCTGAAAATGTTTTATGAAATTAATTCAGCTAGCAAAACAATATAAAATTTCTTACTTACTGAAGGCATTTAAAGGGTAACATAATTCCATGAGAATTCCAAGAATAATAGAAATGTGTTTTTAAAAAATATTATTTTCCCCCTTTTTCTAAAATCTGCACCTTTCTTTCTTCCATCTTTTTTTCTTGCTTTTTTCTTCTCCCATTCCCTCTAGTATTTGAAGACATCTAATTGTGAGAAGTTAAATGAATAGAAATTCTAAGGATTTCTAAATGCAAATAATAAGATTTTGACTTGTTGCCCTTTAAAGAGAATACCAGTTTATGAAACTTGGTGGAAAAATATATGGAATAGGATATAATAAGAACTATTGGGAATTGAGCAAATTTGATAAATAAATTAGGTATAAGGAAAAAGAAAACAAGGATACATAGGCATAATTCCTAATATGATTTGGATCTTGTTGCTATGTTGGAAATCATCTTTGCTAAGTATTATGAATAAGAAAAATATCTATAAGAAGCTGTATTCAGTTCTGTGTAACCAGTGGTTAATGACTAAAGCCTATTGTGGAAATATAATGTTTTGCTTGAGAAAAAGTCAGAATAATAAATGACAAGAAAACAGGTGCATACAGTTATTCATGATACTGGGATATTATAGAGGGAAATGTGTCTGCCTTCTGGAATATCAGAATGGAATCATGAATAAAACTTAACACAGGACAAATGAAAGAAAGTATTTCCTCACTTAACCCATAGTCAAATTATACAATTTTGTAGCTACCAATATATACTGGTGGCTGCCATGTTGGGCACCTTTAAAGAGGCTTAGATTAGTTCATAATAGGTAAGCCCATTTGTAGCTATTAGTTATGAGAGCTATGGGTTAAGGTCAATCTTAGAGAATTAATTCTAGCTTTCATTCTTCCTTTCAATTGTCCAGACAACAAGATAGCTACTAGGAAATGTTGCTTGGTGCTGGAAATATAAATAGGATGGAAGACTGGGCTGGAATAAGATATATGACAATGGACATCTGATCTTCTCAGGGTGTTAACCTTATCTACTTAATCTGTAATAAGTAAAGAGGGGAATATAGAATACTAGACATCTTGACCAGCAAAAATGTTAGTGAACAACCAATGCAACACACACAGAAGGAAAACAACCACAACACACCTAACTGATCTTTTCCCTTAAAATGGAAACTCTTTTCAAAGTCAGTAGGAGACTCTTTTTCCATTAGTCTCTCTTATATTTCCTTCCTTCCCACTGACTTCATAACGATTCCTACATAAGTCTTCTTTCCTCAACCAGATCTTTAACTGAGACCTGCACCCTTTCCCTCCTATTCGACAGGGAGCTTATCTTTTTCAGGACTGTGTGCAGTTAGGAACTTCCAACAATTTCTGACCTCTTCCCCCAATAATGTCTTTGTGTCCCGATTATGGATTTCCAGTAGATATTCCTATAGTCAGTGATGGATTAGGTACTCCTTGGGGACATCTAGTAGATTTCTTGGCATGTTCTTATGTCAGTAAATATTAGACTGACCCCTGTTAATTTTGGATCATATTATATATCTGCTTTTAATGTTTAAGCTAATGCTTGAAAAAGTTAATGCAAAGACATGTAACTACAATTGTTGGAAAGCAAAGATGGGTAAACCTTTGAAGGTCTGAGCATTTCATTTGGGAGGGAGGCTGAGGGGTGTAATTGAGATTCAAAAATGTAAAATCTTTTAATCTTTATAAAAGGACAAAGATTTGTCTCCATCTCTTTTGAGTAGGATGTTATTTTTGGCACAACTGCAAAAGCATTTTCCTTCTTCCCAAGTAATCACCGCAGTCTAAACATATACATACAATTACTTTGAATAAGTCAGAAGACAGGTTTAATTCTACCATGATCCTGGAATAATCCATAAATAAATGCAAAGTTTTGGAATATTAAGCTTAAAGTGCTGAAGAAATCATCTTGTGACAGCTTGAAGACCCTGTGTGTGTGGAACAGCAAAATGACTGGATTTTTGTATAGACAGATACATCTTTCTGCAACTTTTCTGTCTATGCAAAAATGTTTGACCTATCACCTTATTATTTTATAATTTCAGATTCAGGGAAAGGATTTGATGAAATCTGTTTCTTTGCAATACACTCAGCTGCTGCCTTGTCTATGTATTGAGGTAAATGTTTCCATGTAGCTTGATGTATGAACTAGCTCAATATACAGGAATTCTTCAAATACCCATTCACAGCTGTCTACATGATTGGGTCAATATACATAGAAATCAGCTGGCACTTTGATTATGCCATTGTGGCCACCATCTTGAGATTTTTGACCACACCCTGAAGACAGCTCTGAGATCATGACTTAGAGGAGAGGGCTAATCCTAAATGGAAACCTCCCACCCATGACACACAGATAACAAAAATCTCAAAATGGTTTGCATTAGTATTACATCCAGTTTTCAATATTTAATCATTACAAAAAATAGTGAAATTCATTTTATTTAGATTTTTTTCAAAGAAGAACTGATATTTTATTTTTGGTTTATTTTTTCCTATTATACATTTATGTTATTTGATTACTCCATAAAACACCTTAGGAGAAAGGCCACATAGAAACTGTCATATGGGCAATACTTAATTGAAAAGCAATTTATGGTGATTTGAACTAATGGATGCATGTTTGGATTACAGGTGTGGCCAGCGATTTTAGATGCACGAAGAATGCAGTTGTGTCCATTCAAGAATGGCAAGTGAAATGTGCTTCTTGCTTTTTCTGAGTTGTGATTATTTTATTTTAGAAACATAAACTAATGGGCGGGAAGAATAATCTTACATGTAGCTGCCCCCCCAATAATAGGTCACTTGAGTCATTTGAGTGGGTAGCATACACAAATTGTAAAGTAAACAAACCAATAGATAAATCTGACTTCTACATTTGTGTTCCTACATTTGCTTGTTTATAAAAATTTTGGAGCGAGCCCTATAACAACAAAAAACCTGAGTGTCTGCCTTATTTTTCTAATTATGAGAATAATTGCAAAAATCTCAGCATTTCTGCGGCTATTACAAAACAGGCACATAATATTCACTCATCATTCTGATCTAATTGTAGCAAGACCATGGATTCAGGTCAGTGGTGGGGTTCAAATATGTGAACAACCGGTTCTCTGTGTAGATGCCGCTTCTGGAAGTCCATCCTGGGCCTGGGCAACAAAAAATTAGCTACCGGTTCTGTTGAACTGGTGCAAACTGGCTTAATCCCACCACTGATTCAGGTCAAATGACAGAATAGGCCATATTAGTATGATACCATAGGACATGTAGGGTCAATTATACATATATGAAATAGTAACAATACATTCTGAGGTTTATCCTTTTCTCCTGTGCCACTGAACAGAACCACAGGATTTATATTAACTTGAGAAACAGTGAAACTATTGGTTATTCCACTACTAAATAAGCACTGGAGATTTTAAGTGAAGCAGAAGGGGAAACAGGAAGGAATGACTGTCTGTCTGTTCTGATGATTTGTCCCTTTAGACTAGCAGTATTACATCTGGGCTGTGAAAATCCAGTTTACTACTAGATAGGAGCAAAGAGTAACAAAATGCTGTCTCTCTACTGCATGCTTGTGGTCATCAAGATTTATGCAGTGCTTATATGGTACCTTTTTGCTCACTGGATTAAAAATAAAAATACTGATCTTGTTTGCCTTTCAGAAAAGCAAAGCAGTGAGAACCAGCTTTTTTAAAAAACAAAGTGTTTGGGGGGATTGAATGCAGGCCTTAAGAGAGGCAAAATGAAGAAGTCTCCCATCATAGATGCTAAGTAATAAATAGCAGCAAGTTCTGAAATGCTCCACACAGGATGGGAGACTCTGTCTCTTCTCTAGGGGCAACTTTTGCATCTTCAGCTGGCACTTGCAGTATCTACAAGCTTCTTCCAACTCTGAGAAATGCTAGTTGAGACTGTGGAACAATGTGAAGTGCTTTGTTGACATGAATCAAAGTTATCATGTACATGATGCTAACTATTGTTAGAGTGTTGAGCATATGCTTAAGAAAACATTTAGGGCATAATGTAATTTATGGAGTCTCACCAAAGCCAGTGAAGTGGTATCATCTGAACATCTTTATGATGTGGTTAAGGTCATTTCTCTATTTGCCAGAGCAACCCCACTTGCACTGATGATCAAGATGCTGGTTGTTATAGTTAAAGCCCTACATGGGTCAGGTCCTGAACACTTTCAGGACCTTCTATTCTGAGTGGTTTGTGCCCATCCAATAAAATTTAGCATGGACCTCTGAATTCCATCTTTGAGGGATTCCCATTATCAGGAACCACAAAAGTGTGACTTTTCTGTAGCTGACCTGCCCCTCTCTTTTGCAAGAGTGCTATATCTGAAGGCAGGTTAGCATTAATCCTGTTGGTATTCTGAAAGCTATAAAGACCCAGCTCTCCTGGAAAAAATCTGGGGACTGGACATAGGATGGCTCTCCTTCATACATTAGCCAATACATCTAAGAAAAAGTTTGTAGATTGGCGAGCTGATATTTTTTAATTCTTTCAATTTTATTTCTGTACCATTTTTGAATGAATATTTTTGGAACTGAATGGCACATAGATTCCTGAAAATAAATGAATGTCCAAATATGAATACACACTATTTATATCCCCTTTCTACTGTCACTTAGAGTTGCCATGAAAAATTAAAAGCTCATTTGATATATATTTAGCCAGAACAATAGCATTCCCAAATGATTCACAATCCATATTTTCATGTGGACTGATATTTTTTTTTAGCTACAAGAACTGTCAGAAACTACTTTAGCATATGATAGAAACATTTTTATATCTTATGCTATGAACTGTATAAGCTTATAAAGACGAGACAAAATGTAGAATTTGAAGTCAGCAACTTCAAGTGTGATATTTAAGGGTGAGGCATGATCATAAGATGGCTTCATGTCTATTTTTTGCAACAGATAATAAAGTTTGCTAAATCAGGCTAGGCTTACTCATACTCAAAGCTGTCATAGTGTAAGCATAATAAAACATGTAACAATAGTAGTAGAGACTAACTCTGAAAAAAACATTTATTCCTTGGATACATGAAATTTGCTTCCAAATGTGCAAGTGCAGGTCTAAGTTAATCATTATACAAAATAAGCATGTGCTTAATCTCCTATTAAGTCCTTATCTCTTTCACTGCCACACTTAACTTTAGTCAGGTTCACGTAATTGTTTTATCTGCTGTATTTGACTTTAATCTGCATTGCTAAAAATATGTTTTTTGGCATAATGAGTGACTAAAGCTTAAAATTTTGTTTTGAAGGGATCATTAGATATCACATTTGTTCCCATTTCATAGAAGGAGAGCTTCCCTTCCATTGAGGGGCACCATTGTTGAGTTGTGCTTGGGACATCAGTTGGCTTTAATCCAGTCTTATGTATATGGAAAGAAAAGTAAATAAAAACAGGAAGAGAGAGAGGGCATTCTATAACTCTGTAAAGATCATACCTTCTAGCAAAATGAATTAATTCTGCAAGATTATTTGATATGGGTTTCAAACTATTGGTGATTATTTAAAAGGGATATTTTTCTGGCAAATATGCTGAAATGATAAATATGACCTGTCAGACTGAAATGCACCTCAAGGATTCTTATCTTTTCTGGCTCTGTCAATACTGTGCAGTTAAGTTGAGATTTCCCATTCAAAGGTCTGACTGCTAAGTGAATGAAAACTGCAGAATTGCCTTTGAACTCTATAATTCAGAATGAATTTCTTAGTCTTTACTCTAAAATTGAACCATAATCGAGAGACTAGCTTGTTCCCATTAAGATTAAATAGCAAGTCCTACCTCCGCTATTGAACTGGTCTGACCAAGCAAAATTCCTGGGTTTGTGGAGGTTTCTATTTATTGTATGTTCAAGCAAACATGAGTTGAAATCTTGTTTGGATATTACTCTACTAGCACAGAAGAGAAGAAATTAAGCAGACGAGGAAACAGATGTCCAGGGGGGCAGGGATGGGGATGTGCCTTAATAGCCATCTCCCCTTTTAACCTTCATGGACCTGGGCTAAGTGTTTGTATAAAACTGATAATGCTGAGCATCAAATCAAATAATGCTGAGCAGCATTATTCTAATGTTATACTGTATAGCTGTACCCGGCCACACGTTGCTGTGGCTCAGTCTAGTAAAAGCGTGTGTTGCTTTTACATCCAACAGATGGCGCTGTTTTTCAAAAAAAGCATGTTTTTACCTGTCACAGGTGTGACATCTATATAAGATAGGTATATAAAAACACGCGCCTATTCAAATGCAACGTTGCGTCAAAATTTCAAAGCAATTGGTGAAGAACTTTCAGAGATTTAAGATTTTGAACAAATGAACATTTACATTTTTATTTATATAGATTACAAATGCCTCCTTTTTGATTTTCTATGGTTGCTTATTGATTTTCTGAGGTTCTCTCACTTGGCATCCTGGTACAGTACTTCAGCTGCCATGAATCTTGAACATTGTACAGAAATGCATTCATAGCATGAAGCATGAGATTTAAAGAGGGGAAGGAATGTCAGTTACATGA